CCAATCGTGACTAGGACTGTTTTAGCCTTGTTACGACATACGACAGAGCTAGCTCGTGGGGAATACTGTGTAGACGGAGGAGAGGATATAAATACTGTTTATAGCTATATCTTCTTCTTCATTCACATGTATATCAAAAAGAAAAGGAAAAACAATAAAAAAGTAAAGACAGAAGCAAAAGAATATACAACAGAAGCTAATACAAAAATGAAGAACTTTAAAGCAAACTAAGTAGTAGTCTTAACAAGAGGCACACTTACATACTTATAAATTTTTCGTGATATTACTCTTTGTTATGGTAATTTACCATCTACAGATGAAGATATCGAAAGGTTGTTTGCATAGGCTTAAAAAAGCCATGGTCCAAACTAGCTTAGAGGCCCAAAAGCCCAGCCAAGGGTAATTCTATCGGCCAGCCAAGCAGACAAGTTATTTTTGACCAAGGGTCATCATTACCGACTCGAAGTGCGGGATCAGTCGGTCCCTCGTAATTAAGATGACTCCTCGAGCAGACGTCTCGACCATACACTCGACCCGAATCTCACTCAGCTGTTGGGTCGGGAAATCACGAAGACAACTCACGAATCGATCCGCCTCTACTAAGGGGATGAGATCCAAGTAAGCTCGCTTCAGATGTCAATCGGCACTACAGCATTTGATCAGTCCCATCAAGATCTCCGCATAAGCCGCTTATTCTACTCACAAGTCATTTCCCAGGGATCACCATGATGCTCCCCTAGCCTCGAATAACTTCCCTTCCAATCACCAGTCACCATCTGAAGGGGGAATGATGACCAAGCAGCTGGCCTATCCTTTGCCCTACCTTATCTGTCAAATCCAGGATATTGAGAAGACATTTCTCTCCTGTATTCGAATGACTTTCCTTCCAATAGCCAGCCGACATCTGGAAGGAGAAGGATGACTCAGCAGCCTGCATGCTCACCTCTCAACCACCTCATGTGCATAGTCAAAGCCAAAGGGTCAAACTCTCAGAGGCGATGGACTATAAAAGGAGGGAAAGAAGGTAAAAGAGGGAGGATTTTTTCTGCTACTTCTTCACAAAAGCTCTGAATTTACCTTTGCTAAAAGGAACTAATAACTCCCATAGAGTACCCTCTAAGGACCTCAATGGCCCAGGGACTCTCCCTCAAACCCCACTCAAGCTTACTAGCTGACTTGACGGTCGGAGGTACCACGGGGGAAATGAGCCCCGCCCTCCCACGGGTTTCTTCTTGTTTGTGCAGAAGGATCAGGAATTCCAGTCTAAGGATCAGATATAAAATCGGAGAAGGAGTCGGCCCCATCTCTCATCCTCTCCCTATTCGCCGCTAGCGCAAAGACCAGAACCGCAACCCCCTCGACTGTGTGATATCAGACATCAACACTCTTTATATCCCACATATAGATGTTGGACTTGTCTGTGAATTGAGAATCTCAAGAGAACCACCATTCTTTTACAATCCAATGTAGTTTAAAGGTCTGCTTGCCATTATCAAGACTGTCATCTTCTTATCTCTAATAAGTTTGTCACATCTTCAATTTAATATTACAGCTACTTTACATGAACAAAGCGGTTTTGAATATTTTCCAAACTTACAAATTTAGAAAATTTCTACAATCACTGGTCTTCATACTCATAAATGGTTTCATGAAGAAAGCTACGATTTAGGGTTGGATCACTTTCAAAGCACCATCTGGTTCTATAAAAAAAACTTGAGTATTTACTTGAAGATTATTCCTGTTATATGACCGATGGACTTCGAATTATCTGCACTAACAGTAATATGGGCAAAACTTCTCAGCAAAGAGAAGCCAAAACAGTCATTGATCAATGGATGACTAATCCATCAATTGGCCCAGAAACTAGAGAAGCTTATGATGTTTTCATAGCAGCAAAACATTACCAAGAGAGCGTCTTCAGTCAAGAAGGAGAATTCCACTCTTCGAATGATATATCTATCGACAATGATCTGGCAGAGGAAATAACTCATACACGGGACAATATGTGATATGTCATTAACTTGTTATAAATCCTGCATATGATTAATCTCAATAACTTAAACACCTAGTTAATCAACTCTTATCAATATCTTTTTATAGTTTAAAATAATTAACTTTTATGTAAATTTTATTCACAACTAAAAGCAGCAACTGCAGAAGAAATGACAGCAGATATGTCTACACACAGTATGCTACTTTGGATTACCCTCTTTGGATACTTAAGCATGAAGTTACTTTTGTCAAAAGGCTACTCTACCCCCTAACCTATAGTAGGTTTTGACAAACTTGCTCACGTGGGACCCACAAGTTATGAATGCATCTTAGAATAGGATCTCTAAACCTTTATAAAAGGGGAAAAGCTTATGAAGTGAGGGGAGGCTTTTTAGAGAGTGAAGTTTGAGATCCTCTTAAGAATTCCTCTTGTTCTCTCTTTTAGTTTCTTAGTTTGAAATTTGAGTTTGAGTTTGAGTGAGGTTTGCTTTCATTTTTTTTTGAGTGTTAGTAAGATAAGTATGTACTAGTACTACTACTCCGGGGCTGAACAGTTCATCACCCAGCTCCTAGTTTGTAAGCTTTTAAGTTTACTTTCTGTCAAGTATGTAAGTGTGTCTCTTGTTAATACTACTACTTAGTTTGCTTTAAAGTTCTTCATTTTTGTATTAGCTTCTTTTCTTTTGCTTCTGTCTAACTGTTTTACAGTTTTCCTTTTCTTTTTGATATACATGTGAACGAAGAAGAAGATATAGCTATAAACAATATCCATATCCTCTCTTCCATCTACACAGCATTTCCCACGAGCTAGCTCTATCGTATCAAGGCT